CAATCTCCACCCTACTACGCCAGTTCAACTAATAAAATCTGAACTCGAGACGCGCCTCTTCGAAGTCAGACAAGTCACGAATGTTCTACACAAAACCAGCAAGCACCCACTCCCGTTGTTTTTCGTCGATTTAGAACCTACCGAACACTCTAATCAAATCTACCAATTCAAATCTTCCCTTCTGCACACAAAAATTAAGGTTGAAGAACCATACAAGCCTAAGTTAATTAGCCAATGCCAAAATTGCCAAGACTACGGCCATACCCGGGCGTATTGTGGTTATTCAGCACGCTGCGTTAGATGCAGCGCGCATCATCCATCTTCCGAATGCACTAAGTCGCCCGACTCCCCTGCCAAATGTGTACTATGCTCTGGAGATCATCCAGCCAACTACCGTGGTTGCATCGTCTACAAGGAACTTCAACGCCGAAAAACGCCGACCAATAAAAGTAATTTCTTACATGATACTATCAAACCAAATGTTAAACCTTATAATGTAAAAGAAAGCCACCCACTCGCTACCCTTTCGGATAAGAATGAATCTAATCCCACAAAAACTTATGCACAGGCCACAGCTAGTCAACCACCTCAACCTTCTCCACCCTCCGACCTAACTCAACTCATGTCCTCCTTTGTAGGTGAACTAAAATCTCTTATTAACCCTTTAATTGCTCTCCTGACACAAGTCATCACTTCACTTCTAAACAAAAACAATGACTAATTCCTACACTAATAACTCATTATCTATTTTACTATTTAATGCTAACGGCCTAAAAAATCATGTTAATGAGCTCCAGACAGTACTCTTTGACAAGCGCATAGATATCGCCTTAATATCAGAAACTCATTTTACCAAATATTCTCACATTTCCATTCCAGGTTATCACCTACTAAAATCTAACCACCCTGATGGTACAGCACATGGTGGGGCAGCTATACTTATTAAAACTAACTTAAAATTCTATCCTCTTTCCAACTTCTCTCAAAATCATATCCAATCCTGCGCCATCTCAATCACACTTAATAATATTCCTATTTGTATTGCAGCAGTTTACAGCCCTCCCAAGCACCTTATAACAGACACTAATCTCACCGAATATTTTGACACATTTCCTAACAACTTTATTGCGGGTGGTGACTTTAATGCTAAGCACCAAAGTTGGGGATGCCGAGTTACTAACCCACGCGGTAACCTATTTCACAATTTTACCAATGTTAAAAAATTTAAAATACTTGCACCACCTGATCCAACATACTGGCCAACATCGCGCAGGAAAAAACCTGATATTCTGGACATATTTATCTCAAAAACTCCGAGTAATTTATACTGTGCTGTAAACAACATCTTAGACTTAAACTCGGATCACTCGTCTGTAATACTAAATGTTGATGCGACTCCTCAAATAAATTCAGTTAGCCACTCTCTTTTCTCACCATCAACCAATCGTTATACATTTCATAACATAATTGCCCAAAAAGTTGATCTTTCAATAAAGTTAAAGACCGAGCACGATATTGACGAAGCAATCAATAACTTATCCGAACTTATCCACTCAGCAGCCTCATTATCCAATACTATAACCACCTCTAAGCACTCAGTCCAGAAGCTGACTCCCCTTCCTGAACAGATACGCTCACTAATTGTGGAAAAACGTAGAGCCAGAGCAGTTTATCAACGCATGCGTCTACCGTCACACAAAAACGCTCATAATAAGTTAGCCAACTCCCTAAAAAAAACCCTAGCTAAAAACAAAGCGGATACACTAGAACAAAAATTAACCAATCTTTCATTTTCCGACGGTAGCTTATGGAAAGAAACCAAGAAATTACTTAGTATTAAAACTCCTTCTACCCCTCTAAAGAAACCTGACCATACACTTGCTTCTTCTGATACCGATAAAGCCGAAGTTCTTAAAGCACACCTACATGAAACCTTCCAACCACATCATAACATACTCATACCTCAATTTGTTGATGAGGTAAAGGCTGGTTTAGACCTTCCCTCAACCTCCAATCATCTTGAAAAATATTTCACGCCCAATGAAATCAAACAAGCTATCCAAAAATACTCCTTAAAAAAATCGCCAGGTTACGACCTATTAACGGCAGAAGTAGCTAGATGCCTCCCCAAAAAAGCAATAGTACTGGTAACATATATATTTAATGCATGCCTAAGACTCTCCTACTTTCCGATCCTTTGGAAATTCTCAAAAATTATATTATTTCCTAAACCTGATAAACCCTTAGACGACCCATCCTCATACAGGCCGATAAGTCTCTTGCCCTTCTTATCGAAAATTTTTGAAAGGCTTATCCTCAAACGAATGACTCCATATATTGTCAGGAACAATATTCTTCCGAACACCCAGTTTGGATTCAGACCCTCACATAGTACCATTCATCAAGCTCATAGGATTGTCGATGCAATATCTTTCTCGTTGGAAAAAAAACTTTACTGTACCTGTGTCTTTCTTGATGTATCCCAAGCGTTTGACAGGGTTTGGCATGACGGATTACTTTACAAACTCAAAAGTTTTCTTCCCCACCCGCTCTTTCTTCTTATCAAATCTTACTTAACCGATCGTCACTTTCAAGTACATTATCGCTCTGCATACTCAGAAATAACCAAAATCAATGCTGGCGTCCCACAAGGGGGCATCCTATCTCCAACTCTATTCAACATATATGTCGCTGATCAACCCACCACGCCTCAAACCATGGTGGCTGATTATGCTGACGATAAAGTAATTTTGTCAATTAGTGAAAATCCGGTAGCCGCCTCATCAAACCTGCAACTCCATCTCTGCCTAATGTCTAACTGGTACGACAAATGGCGTATCAAAATAAACCAAAACAAATCAAGTCACACTACATTTACTCTCAAGAAGGGAATTTGTCCAACTGTTACATTAAATAACATCCCAATTCCCACATCTGACACAATAAAATACCTGGGACTCAATCTTGATAAACGACTAACATGGAAAAATCATATTCGAACCAAAAGACTGACTCTCAACGCCAGTATGCGCATCCTCAATCCTTTAATATCGAGAAATAATAAAACAAGTCTGAAAGTCAAACTTCTAATTTACAAAACCCTCTTAAAACCTATTTGGACTTATGGCATACAGCTCTGGGGCTCAGCAAAAAAATCCAATACCAATAAAATCCAAGTATTCCAAAACCTAGCTCTCCGTCGTCTGTCCAATGCACCACCATAGGTCTCTAACCTAACATTACATAATGACTTTCACATAAAAACCATCAATGAAGAAGCTCAATCATTTTACTTGCGGTACCGCACACGACTTCTATCCCACCAAAATCCTCTTATTAAAACCCTCTCCTCTCAAACTCTCCCGGGGAATCCAAGGCGCAGGCTAAAAAGGAAATGGTGTCGTGACCTACTACAATTATAAATTTAAAATATACTATGCTCGTTACATGTATATATTCATTTAATCTCAACATATGGGGAAAAAAATAAAAAAAAAAAACATATATAAATAATTCATGCTAAGTGTTGCCAGTGGGTGGCTTCTTACTCAATTTTTCATGTCATGTCTTCTCTTAGCACATAAGCTTATTATGCATTACTTGTATAGATTGTTTATTTCTAATAAAAATTAAAAAAAAAAATTGAATACTACGTTATAACTAAAATTTATAATTTTCAACTGAGTATTTTAAAAATAAATTGTTAATTGTAAGAATTATATCAGGTAGAAGGGCCTCTTCTTATATGCATATAGTCCCTAGGTAAAGGAAATGTGGGTATCCTCAAAATAGATTCTTCTCTGATAATGGCTTATTTAATACTAAAATATAATGTTGTTTTATTACTTACCGTCGTAAATTTTTTTTTTTTTTTATATATATTCATACTACTTATCTTTAAACTATACTAATAACGTGATATCATAGTTTCAAAATACATTTAACCACCAATTGTGATTTTTAACTTATTATGTAAGATGATAATATAATAATTTATCAATAAAAAAATATATATTTATCTTTTATATGCGCCCAAAGAAAAAGTGATTTTTTCATCTGGAAAACCAAAAAAAAATGTCATAATTTTAATATTCTACTGAACAAAAAATTAAATATCATGAGTTACACCATAGCAAATGTAATTAATATAATATAACAGTTTTGAAATTAAAATCTATTCAACACTATTAATTAAATAATTAATAATTATATTATTCAATATAAAGTTTATATCAGTCATTAGGCAAATGATAAATCAGATAAATTACGAGTAATTTTTTTCTTTCTTACTAAGTTCTTTAGTTTCTATACCACTTTATATTTATTTTATTGTCACATAAACATTTATTATTATGTAACGATTTTTAAAATTGTACTCTACTTTTACGTCGAAAATGCATGTTGAATAAATTAAATAAAATTAAATTTTAATATGTTGACCTAATACTTTTTATTTTCATTATTTTAAGTCATAACTAGAATTTAAGTAGCGAATTTCAATTCTACAAAACCTATTAATGTATTCTCATATAAGTAACTATCATAAATATAAAGGTTTGAAAATATTAAATTTTGCTTTTTCAGATTTAATACTCGTTTGTATGACGTACAGTGAAAATTGAAATATGATAAAGTATAGTAGATATCTTTTTCATCAAATCAACATTTATAAAAATGCATCGAGTTAAAAACATAATGCTGTAAAATTCAATCTTTAAACGCAAATTTATAAAACGATGACTTAATTTCGTCTTAAATTTAGTTATTCACGCGTTTTATAATATGATAATTTAACTCAATTATAAAACGTTTTCTATCCCAAAAAACTTGTGTGTGTATTATTTCAATAACAAAAAGAACAAAATATATTTTTAGATTGGAAAATATTTATTTTTAACTGTTGTGGAGAGTATATTATGAAGAAAATTGTGAAAAAAAAAGTAAAATAATAAGATTTGAAGACTTATATCATTATGCCGTGATTGGTCGCTGCGTTTAGATCAGTAATGAGCAAGATAATGTTGATAATCGTCCGCGTAATAATTACCGTATTGATTGTAATACGGATAACCATTGCCTGTAAATAAAACGATGTTTTTAAGTTTTGGTTTGATTTGTTATTTGTTTTTTTTTCTTTTTCGAAATACGCAATTGTAATTGTTCGTAATCGAATGGTTTAGTTTTACCTATTTCACTGCCGAATCCAATAGAAATTCCTCGGTAAGCGAACGGCGAGTACCGTGCAACTGGATATGCTGCACCGAAACCGAATGAGAATGGTAAGCGTAAATGTGACGTCTCCGCTGTCTTCATAGTCTCTTTGGGCGTCACTTGAGTTTGCTGTGCAGCCGGCATTGCGAAAGCTACGGAAATCAGTGCTGCGCACAGAATCTACAAACGAAGAAAACCCGTATTGTTACTTCAAATCTAGTAAAACTGCTCTCATCAAAATCATGATACGATCAATCGATTTTATAATATATCCATGAAATACATATGTGAACGCAATGGAATGGTCCAAAGTATTACAATATTGTGATAAAATAATTTTAATATTAATAATATGATCCGAGTATGTTCGTATTGAATTTCCGTCTAAAACATTAAATAATCTAACCATGATTTGTCTGAGTTATACTATTTGTATGTTATTCCCACTGTGAAACAATACGAATGAAATTTCACTGCTTAATTTTTAAAACTATTTCAATATTCGGATCGTAATTTAATTTACTGTTTGCGTTGTATTTTTCAATTATTTATTGGAGTTATTATATTTTTATTCATAATATTTTGCAATATTATCTTATCATAATCGTAAGCAAGGAGGGTGCTGCGCGCACGCTAAAAATTTTGTAAATGGTGCCCTACAATTTAATTCTAAGACAAAGGTCCATGATGCTTCACAAATTAAACGTAATTTATTCTAAAATATTTGATATAAAATTAATGATGTTTGGTAATAGGAAAAATAAAACAAAACGTTATACGTTTTCGTGAAATTATCTATCACGAAAATAAATAACAGCTATGGTTGACTACAAAAAAAAAACAAATCATAAATAATTTAATCAACTTAAGAAAAATAAACGAGTTTCAAGGAAAATATAATCATTATACAACTTATAAACCACAATATTAAATAAACATTTAAAGTTATGTTATTTAATTATAATTTACTAAATATCCCTACATGTTTTGTTAAGATATGGCCATACAATATTAAAGGAACCATCTGAAATACAAGTTTGCGAACGCCTATGCGTCTTATATACAAAATATTTTTATAATAATATTTTATTTTTAATGTGATTCAGTTTGCTTATTAATCAATCGAAATAAAAAGAAAATCATCATTAATCTTTTTTCCTAAAATAGTTTAGATTGACCAGGCGCGTAGCTAGAAATTTCTAAGGGGGGAGGGGGGTTTATTCAAAATTAATTGACAAAATTATACACATAAAATTAATTACTTTACGTATATTTAAGTTTTTCACATATATATTATTATAATTAACACAAAAAAAAATTTTAATTTTAATTAACTTAATGCGTCTACTTTTTAAAGCTAGAGTATCTATTATTTCGTCGGTGGTTACGACTAAATCCCAAAGAATATTTATAACTGCTAAGCCATTCAACCGATTTTCACCAGTTGTGTTCCTCAAATATATTTTTAAGCGCCGTAAAGAGGAAAAAGATCTTTCACTGCTTGCAATGGTTACTGGTAAAGTAATCAATATTTTTAAAAGTTGATGAACAGTAGGAAATATTTATTATTGTGTAATGCCGAAAGTACAACATTCTACGAGTAGCCGACTACAAAGTTTTGTTTCGGAGTTTAAAGATATATTTACATCCAATGAACACGTTTTATTTTGTGAACTATGTGGTATTTTTTTTTTTTAATGCATATAAATGCATATTTTAATGATTTTAGAAGTATATTTGCATGCACATTTGTGTATTTTTTAGAGCTATAAGTCCCTAAACCTAGTAATTATTAATTAATGTCGGGTCCCGGTTTAAGTGCTTTACATTATTGTTATCGTAATATATATTCCATTTTGATAAATAAGTGTAAATCACAACTTATGATGCATCTTTATCTTGATAAAACATATTAAGTATACCATGGCTAAGGGGAGGGGGTGTTACTACACATGTAACAACCCCCTGAATACGAGCCTGATATAAACTATTGATTGATCACTCAAGCTAACTTTACTACACTTAGTTAATAAAATACACCCCGTAGTATATTTCAATAGTATTTAAAATGAAATTTGTTTTTGGGCCATACATTTATTTCTATGTATATTATTTTAAATTATTCAATTTTTTTCTGTACATTTATAAATGTTTTATTATTAACAACTTCACAAGTATATGTATTATTGAAAATATAAGTAATAAAGAAAAAAAATTATAATGCATTTATTTTAAAAATCTATGTTTTGTCAGTAAATTATTATTAAATACTTCAAATTCATTATATTTTTTATTGTGGCGTGTTATGCAAATTATAACCATATGATTTTTATATTAATTTAAATAAAAAACATGGATAGTAATTTTTAACTGGCAAAAAAATTGGAGATTATTGATTAATGCAATTTTTCTTAAAAATAATCCTAACTATAACAGACATTAATATTTTGATTTTCTTAGAACATTTAAACTTACGAGATTTATTCAATATTAGATTCATATTATGTATTCTACAATTAAATATAACTTACAAAATCATGTGGAAACAATAATTTATTAAGATTAAATCTTAACACATTATACCGATGAAGACAAAAAAAGTTGAAATTACAGTTCTAATTTAAAAAAAAAACTCATTGGTACAAATATGACAGATATTAATTATATTTAAAATTATGACGAAATTAAAAATAATCTATAACTTATAATGAAAATCTTGACTTACCATAGTAAATTTAGCTGCCATTTTCCTTGGTACTTGTTATGATTTATCTTTAAAATCAATCGTCTCTGTTCACTCTAAAAATTATACTGAATTTCATTTGGCGGTGCTCGCTTTTATATTGAGATTTTTCCCAAATCGCTTTTCTTTCAACAATAGATTTATAGTCATTAACGGTCAACGTAATTTTAATACGTAATTAAAACTCGACCAAGGATAACCGCAAATGTATTCTTTCCTGAGGCTCAAATAAAGGTCATCAATGGAAAAATATACAACATAATTAGTAGCTAATGATTTTTGTACGGTTTTTACTAACCGAAAATAACTATTTAATTATGAAGTTTTATAATTCTGTTACAATATGTAATACATTTGCAATGGTTTTAGGTATTTTCATATGTTTTTGATTTTTTATATAATCATTAAAATAAGCTTCATATTTATAATACTAACCAGGCCCGGCTCAAGTGTTTAAACAAACATAGGCAAAATTTAGTTTTTGCCGCCCCTTACGTGTAAATATTTTATCAATTTTTTTTTTTTTTTAATACATAAAAATTGTCCAGGAAAAATGCCGCCTTAGGCGTGGACCTATGTCGCCTACCTCTTGAGCCGGGCCTGATACTAACAATCAGTTTATGTTTTTTTTCTTTTATTAGTGTTCAGAATTCACTAATTAATCTAATACCGTACCATATATATGATTTACCTTTTCTATTAAAACTTATCTAGCCAACCTTTTTTTTAAATGAATGTTTTGTTATATTTTCTTACATACAAAAACGTTTAAGTTTGAAAAACACTGCAAGATTCAAGCCATATGCTTTTGATTATTTTGACGTCCTTCAAAAGACTATTTTCTGGACCACATAAATATTTTATTATTTAATAAGTTTAAATGGATTCATATTAAAAAACAATAATGATTTTTACATTATGAAAATTAGAATTTATGTATTATGTCAAAAATCTTATTACCAAATAAGTAATTTGTTTTATTAGGTATCTTAATAAAGCTTTAGGATCAATTTTAATTCAACTGACAGATAAATTAATTTCTTGAATAAAAACAAACATTTTTGATAAAAATCATAAGACACCTAAAAATTGAATACAAGTTCAAGTTGATCATACACCATTTTAAAATGATATTTACCGTTTTAATTACAAAAGTTATTAAGATATTATTTATGTTTTAATTTCAGTTAAAAACATTTCATATTTTTAAACTTAGTTTGATTCTACACGAAACACCTTAAAAGTTTGTAAACATCAATAAACTGCCTTGCATTGATTACACTACTTTATTAATGGTTTATTTTCCAGTATTATTGTTATTAATAATAATAATAACATAAACAGCAAAATTAAAACAAACTATCTTAAGCATTTATAAAATTTGGAATTGTTAGTTTACAACTGTCGATTTTTAAATTTGATTACTACCGTAGAATAATATTGTCTTTAATAAAATAATTTTAAAAAATACGTATTTCTTGTATAAAAATTATAATGCTAAGATTGATTTAATGGTTTACTTAAATTTTATGACGATATTTCTTTCAAAATTTATCGAGTATATAAATATTTCTTGTTTGAAACATCTATTAAATTGTCATTATTATAAATACAAGAGTATTAATATTAATATTTATATTATATTATTTTAAATTGCTATGAGACGGAAATACCATTTTCTCACAATGTGTATTTAATCATCTCCGTTAGTTACACAATAAAAATTTCATATCCAACAAATAAAGAACTATAGACAGACAATATTATTTATTATTAAGAAAAATTTGAATTCAATCAAAATCAAATGAACATATTTCAAATAGTCAATAAATGAAAAACCTGTAAAAACATAATAATTTTTTGATTTTTACGTGTTATTAAAGTTTACTTTTTTTTTTTTTAATTATTCACACCTATATCATACAGAAGCATTTGTATACAAGTGTTATCATGGAGAAACGTACTATCTGCTTTAAACATTTTAAACGATAATCTTCCAAAAAAGGTCTAAAATTACGGAATTCATTTTAGTTTTTAAAAAGTTTTCTTTTTACTTATTTTACTGGCTTACACAAATATATCAGAAACTTTAAATGATCATCTATAACTTATAATCTTAGAGATATAAAAACTTCTACCGTTCGTAACATATATGTCCCAGTCATGTTAACAACTAGTAAAGTTGCATGTAAGTATATGTTTGCATAGATGTGCGTTTAAACACTAATTACCTATATTTTTTGCTTATAATTTATCTTATTTCTTAAATATAATAGGTGAAATTATTTGTCAATAATATTCTATCCTTCGATAATATTTATACCTTATTGTAGCCATACAACACATTATTTACATTATTTATATAATTTTATATTTAATAGTTTATAATATACAATTTGATAGGTACCCATCTTAGATATTTCAGTAAAAAGAAAAATTAATACCTTTCTGAAATAAAACATTAAATTTTTCATAAACATTATATATAATCAATAATAATAAATATCGGTATGGTCTAATGGTTTAAAAATCGGTAGAGTATTGGTTTGGTCCGACTCCATATTTTTATGAAAGATTTAATTTCCGTCCTGGTTTAAATTATTATCATTTACAGTTCTGTTCGGTTTTTTTTTATAAATTTTAATTAATTGGTTCGTTTCGGACCAGTTGGTCATAGCTAAGCTTTACCACTCATTTAAAACCCATTGAAAAATGATTTTAAATTTTAAAGACGTTATTTATATAATCGAAAATACGTGTATTTATCATAGGAATCAATATTTTACTCCTGCGCCGTTCTTTTAATATACTTTGTAAGTATATGGTTCAAAGCTGTTTATGGTAGGTACCTAGTAATAATTATTATCGAAAATATTTTCAACTACTGCTGCAATTATTCTCGTTATGGTGCGGACGACATTTTCATGGAAGGGCTTGTATACAGCAGCTACGCCACGCTATACGACGAAATTTGCAGCACAAATAACAATGTAATGTACATTTTTCTATCCTATGTATTAAATAACATCAGTAGTGTAAAGTTTTTTAATGATCTATTTTCGCTCCATCAGATTATATTATATTTTCAATCCGGTCTGTTAGAAAAAAAAATTGGAATACGTTCGGTCCAGTCCATAAACGTCCGAAATTATTTTATTTGAAACAAAGCAATCCGGTATCGATCTGCTCAAACTATTTTAAATTTTCAGTCGAATCTAATATAATAAAAATTTACCCATCGGTTATGTCCGACTTCGGCTCTTTGTTAATATTTTCAATCCGGTGCAGTCCTTAAAATTACGGACTATGCAGAGCAATAGCGTATGTGTATATTTGAGTGTGTGATCACACATGTTAGGTACGCATTTATACTATTATAAAGTTATAAATTTATAAAACGTACATCTTCTATATCTATAAAAATGGATTTCTGTCTGTCCTTTATACATTTCTATATGGCTGGACCAATCGCGACGAAATTTAGTTCTGAGATATATTAGACCTATGGGCAGAAGATAGTCTAAGTTAAAAAGTAATAGGTTCAACTACGGGAGGTGCTCAAACAGACATTTTGAGATTTACGATTGAAATGTTTGTTTATAGACGGTTGCTATTAGTTTCAATTATAATATTAATTAGAGCAAAAGAAATAATATTCCCTGAATCTGTTATTATTATTTATTATTATTTGTTTCTATGGCATATGCGTCTATGGCAATAAAAGTTTTTATTGATATTTTGTGTTTTTTTTTTTCATTACAAAATAACGCCATTTATATGCTATTATGCCTCCCAAAAAAAGATCGATCGGTAATCAAAGCTATAATTTTAAACGGAAAGTTTATAGGCGAAGATGTACTGTTGCTACACATCCAAATGATTCCAACAGATATGCCTTTCGAATTCAAACGTTTGCAGTTTTCGATGGGGCTCTCCTTTGCAATGACCATCAACAAAACATAAATGCTTAAAGTGTGTGGACTGAATTTGGAAAATCCATGTTTCTCACATGGACAGTTGTATGTGGCATGCTCACGCGTCGGAAATCCTTCTGATTTATTTGTGTACGCACCAGAAGGAAGAACAAAAAATATTGTGTATCCAAATGCACTTCAATAAATCATTCAATTGAACACTTGAATTTTCAGACTTTTCTCGATAAAACGAATAAAATTACATAATGATAAACTAAATTGAATATCGTTGTAAGATTATTAATTAGCATATTTTAACCGTTATCTATCTATACGTATAAAAATAAACTGCTAGCATAATCATATGTAACACATTTAACACACAGTTTGAGACATATAAGACGTAGGATTTTTAATGGGCTACGAAGTACACGGGTTCAGTTACTTATTAGTATGAAAACATTGGAAAAAAAATTGAAAACTGATAATGAACTGCTAAGTGTGAAATATAAAATCATATCCCATTTAATTTGCAATGCACCATACATGAATGGGCCATGGCCGTTTTCGAACAAAAACGCACCCTTCCCTTTTTAGCCAATTCACTTTCAACCAAATTTAAAATAGGCCGATTCCCTTTTCAACCAAAACAAAAATTTCTATACAGTGAGTTCCGCTTAATGTGATCACTTTGGTGCAGGTCATTTTGATTCTATTAACCGGTTGATTCTAAAAAGCATTACAACAATTTTTTTTTATAATTCCGTCTTTTAATACAATTATTTATTTATAATTAGATATTTAATAATTTCTAATACATATATATATATAATTATAATTTTTTAATAAAATTATTGATTTTTACATTTGTTTTTATGTAATGATTCTACATTTATGCTTGAAATAAAATAAAATTTTGAATGAAATAAAATAATATTAATATATAAAAATAAAATTAAATAAATGCATTTAAATTCAATTAAAAGAGCCATCTATTTTTGATTGAACTTGACAATCTACCAATTTAGTATTCATATTAGCCTGAAATTAAATTAAATCAAATTAAAAATCATATTCATGTTTTTTATTTATTTGTTTACAATATACATTGTACATACATGTAGTTTTTGAAACA